CTGCATAATAAACAAACTTTTTTCCATTAACAAAACTCATTGCATTAACGCATACCATTTATTACAGGATTTAATGCATACCATTTTAGAGGATTTGATAGGCAAAAGAGATGTACGGGTAAGTCTGTATAAAGAAAACAAGTAATGAGCCGGTCATTAGATGTATGATAGTTTGACCAAGTATTACCTTCCTCGCTAGAATACAACTCCTGGTCATCTGGGTCCAAATCCATATCAAGTACCTGCAGGTGGAACAACAGTCAATGAAACTAAAAGATGAATTACAAAATTGATAAGCAAATCAAATGTTTATCGACAAGATGATTCGCATTTTAGCACTTACCATTGCCTCTATATCGGAATAACATGGTACATCATCATCGCTCTCGAAAAGCCCCATTTGATCTGATGTCTCGGGGTTTAATTGTGCTTCAGCAATCCCTTCTGTATGTAATGATTTATTGTCTCTAATTGTAGCTGATGGATCAAGCTCCTGTTTAATGACACCCAAATCTGGGTTCTCCACATGAAACTCAGTTGAGTTGTAATTGAGAAGCTTTGCCGATATACTTTCTCTAGTGTCTTCCTTCAGGATTCCAGGTTGAACACTTGTACTTGGATTGGCTGAATAAATTTGATCCAGACCTTCACTAACATGACCTGCATTCTTAGATGCCACTTGAATGGCGTCAGTCTTAGACAGCTCAAATTTCACCCCGAAATTACCTAGTGGAGGTTTTAGACCCTTTTCTTGTAAGAAGTGTGATCCTTTAATCTGAGAGGTACTATGCGGTTCTCCTAGATTTTTTCGCTCTCTGTGCATAAAGCATGACCCTGTGGCATTATTTCTCTTATTAACAGGGAAACCTCTAGTGGACAAAGATAATGGCTTATTCACTTCAGAAGTTGATGGACGATTTGGTAGAAAGATATCATCATTGCATGGAATTTCTGGGTCCTCGGTGTTTAATGTGCAGCAGATAACTCCATCTTTCAATTCAGGATTTTGATAGTTCGAAGCAGTTGAAGATGATAGCATCAGAGTCTCTGAATGGAAAACCATATCTTCATCAGCATTTGGGGATCCTTTATTATCATCTACCACTCCAAGATATGTACTAGAAGGATTCATGGAGTCCATAACTGGAGCTACAGATGTTTCTGGCTCAGATTTGACGATCGTCTGTTCTTGATGAACACCATCTTTCGGTGACCTCAACAGAAGGGAGCTCAAGCCATCATAGTAAGACTTATCAATCACATCTTTTCCATCAGCAGTCATGAGCATGAGCTCCTCGTTCGTAAAGTTTAAAAGCGAATTGGACAGTTCTGCCAAATAACCTTCAGTACTAACAGGAGCTGCTGAACTCTGGAAATCACCACATGGCATTTCAGCATCCACCTCAATCCTAACATGAACTTCAGTCTCTGATGTTCTTGCATTGTCAGCATCGATATTCTCATGAAGTTCAAAAACATCGCCGGTGCATGTATTATTTTCACTAAGATCAACATCGACTGGCTTAGCTGGAAGTGGAGATGAATACTCCAAGTTGTTAAACAATGCACCACCGTCTGAAACAGGTGAATTAAAGGCGTTGTTCCCTTCAAATTCTGTGCACATATTTCCCTCGTTGCCATTAATTTGATCAAGTGTAAATTTCATTCCCAAGCCATCAGCATTGAACAGGCTGCAATCTGGCAATCCCTCTGGATGATTGAATTCATCCACCTCAGATTCATTCCATGTCATAATATCTTCATGTATGTTACCTTGTTCCATATGAAAATCATTCCCATCTGGGTTCTGGAGCATATGAAAGGTATCATCAATGCCGACATTCATCAGATTTTGCATAGCATCCATATCCGACGTCTCAAGGCCAAAAGGGGCTGACATCGGATCACCATTTATGCAATTTCCATAAAGAGGCTCGTCTCCATTTCCATGATAGTTGTTATTACTGGGTGCAACAAGAAAATTAAGGCCCATGGAATTAAATGGCTCATTGCAAATCCTTTTACGCATTGCATAGTAACTACTACGAACACTTTCAGCTTTTCTCTTTCCGGATTCACATTTTTTTTCTTTTGAATTTCCCGACCTGTCAAATGGAACAGCCGTGGTGGAACTCTCAAACTCAATCATGCGAGCAGAAGCATCTTCAGAAACTACTGGATCATACAGGAGAGAATACCACCGATCTTGCAGCTCACGAACAGTAAATCTTTGAGAAAAATGCACTGCACCTTTAGCAAGCGACTCCAACGAAGCACCATCCTGCAAACAGAGCAAAAGAATACAAAGTCCGAATATAACTTTTGAGAATACTAACTTCCTGATAAGCTTTCCTTGTATGATAAATATATTACAAAATCAAAACCGGGGTTTTCTGAAAAGTACCAAATCCTAATTTATTTCCGAAAGGGGAACCCAGGCAGTTCCCCTCCGACGCAACACAGTTAATAGAGGCGAATACTTGTTAATTCGACTAAGATACCGCCTATCTCAGTAGGAAAACCAGCAGTGACAATTGTTCTAGCAGTGGACAACATAATTTCAACTGCATTCACCTTCAATTTTATCTAGCATTTGTCCAATTTACTGATTATGTTCCTCAATTTCAATCTTAAATACGAGGAACGGTAAATCCATAACATATTCGGAGAACATAAACCCGAAATCGAAAGTTGAGGTTCCACCATAAAACCAATTGGCAATATGGGGAGTAGCCCAACCTCTTATAAGCCCATGCAAGGTCACTCCTCCCATCAATGTGGGACTCATTCTCAATACAACTCGAATTCATGCTTAAACACACTAAAACCCCAAGAATTTGAAAACCCAAAAAAAGCAACATACATCATATGTATAACGAAACAAATTACCAGAAAAATCCAGGTTAATAATACACTGCGAGGATGCAAGAACATTAAATTTTCAGAAAAAAGGGAGGAAATTTAGAGTCGAATTTGTACCTCAACAGCTTTTTTGAGCAGAATATCATCCGCCGGGATCCATTTAGAGAACGGAGCGAGAGCACCCATGGCCTCCACCAGCCTCCCTCCCTTCCTCCCTCTCTCTCCCTCTCTCTCCCTCTCTCTCTCTCTCTCTCTCTCTCTAGAGCGTTCTTGTTCACGGGAGCATGGAAAAAGCTTGAAGAAAGAGGAAAATTACGAAAATAGGCGGACGGGAGAAGGCCTTCGTGGCGGCTGGGGGGGTTTAGAGGGAAAGAAAAAAAATACAAGGATTTTACAGAGGTTTTGTGAAACGTGGACGGCGGCGAATTGGGCGGTTGGGGCACCGCGTCGTGGTCTCAGGTGACTCTGTTTTGAGGTGGCGAGGTTTAGGGGTTTAGTTGGGTGGGGCATTAGAGCACGTGCCAACCCACTCAGCCGTATCATCTTACAGGTTGCCTCGGACTCCTATGCTCTCCGTTGACCCAAGAGTGCTCCTCTAGAACCATGAACCGTAATGGTATTCATACATCTATTTTACTTGTCAAATATTCCTTTTAATTTTTGGCCGTCGTATCAAATGAATTAAAGAAGATTTATGACGAAAATTAACAAGGATGTATGAAATGTAAAAATAATTATGTGAATAGTACTTTTTGAAATATAAAGTGTCCTTTTTTTGGTTTGAAAGATCTACTTATCTTGATGGACTTTATTTTTTATAGGGAGGCGGTACAATTTGATGTCTCTAACATTATTCCATTAAACGAGTGATGCAAATTAGCAAAGGAATGTGTTTTCTTTGCGCACTAAATTTCTAAGTGTGGATATACATTGATGTGTTATTTGGGAAGCAAGGTTCTAAAAAACGCTAGGCGCTAGTCGGGCAGCGGGCTAGCGCCTAGTGCCAAGACAGATTTAGGTAAATTTCTTGTATATCTTGTAAATAAGTGCATATTGTCACTTACAAAAAATTATACTTTTATGAAATTCATGGATAGGATAATAAAAAAATGATAAAATGCAAAAAGAGTATCCAACAAGTCCAAAATTTAAAAACGCATTAAGCACATATGTCATATAACCATAGTGAGGAGTATTGTAATGTAGGATGACACATGTACAACAAGTTCAAAATTTAAAACAACATAAAATACAAAATAGGAGGAAAATAAGGAAATATAGTAATGTAAGATACATAATCTAAGTTTTTATTTTTTATTTTTTAAATTTCAAAAAAAAAAACGCCTAGCCGCCTAGCACCGCCTAGCCTGCCTATAGTCACCCCAATTTTTCCAGCCATTTTGCACGAAATTGCCTCGATTCCAACCTGCCCAGCGCCTAGACCATTTTTTAGAACATTGTTGGGAAGTAGACGAAAAACTCCTAGGACCAACAATAAGAGAGTACTAAGAACAAACTGGCGCTGTAACAGGAGGGAGGGTGCTTAACCGCACTTGAACTCCATCCAAATTATGACCCAATAAAGCAAGAGCATTCATCACAAATACACTTTTGTGGCGTTTGTGACTATAAACTTTTTAAATATTCTACTTTGTGAGAAAAGGAATGTCTTTTGGTACATACGAAAGAATAAAGGTGAAGTGACCAAATTTGTTGTCAAAAGCTAATGGAGAAAAAAAGTTGTGATGGAGTTTTTGAACCGAAAAGGAAGCACATCAAGCAAATCCAGTTGCTTTCAATTTTGTTGGGTGTCCACTTTCCCAAAAGGGCTTGTGGGGCCTTCCTATTTTGAAGTTCACACTTGAAATTTTTGAAAAGAAAAGAAAATTTCAAAATCATTATTCTCTACTCTTTTTCTTCTTCTTTTTTTCCAAAAAAAAAAAAAGGACCAGTTAGATATTATAGTCCACCTTTTTGGAGGTCAAGAAGATTTACAGAGATATTTTAACCTTCTTACGCACTAGGAATCAAACCAATGAGGTATCGTGTGAAATACAGGTCTAAAATTAATTTATAACTACTGAACCACCCAATGATGGTTAAGTTGATGTTATACTTGAAATCCTCTAAAAAAGAGAAACATAAAAAAGGGAATTGAATCCAGCAAACATGACTTACATGGACCGTCATCGTGAAAGAAGTTTTAGAGGCTCTGTGTTAGGTTACATGGCCCAAACATTTAGGCCCAACCACATATGCAGCCCACCATAACAAAACGACATCGTGATAGGTAATACTGCCACTACAAGTCTACAACAAACGAGTTTAATTAAATCTTAGCAATACATGGGTAATTAACCAAATGTTTAACTAATTACTGCAGTGGTGGAATCTGATGCAGCTCCAGCAGCAATGCAGCGAAGATTAGTGGGATGCGATTGGTTACTACTTCGCAAATATGGGAGGTCCTCCTCCATTTGGTGAGCAGCCACACACTGAATCATAATCCCCTTCATTCTCTACTTATTCATAGTGTATACCTTCCCTCGCATACTAATTAATTAAACCAAAAACAAAAACAAAACAAAACAAAACAAACAAACAAACAAAACGATTTCAAAGGTCGGAAAAGAGTAATATAATTTGATCAATTACAAGAAAGAGATCAAGTGCATACAAGTTCGTGGAGACTCATGTTCACATCCGCTTGGCTCTTTACCTATAGTGCAACAAACGGAGAAAAATGAGCGATTTCGTTATACAGTACAATTATGTAATCAATATGTAGACATCATCATGATATGCGAAACAGGTTAATATGTTTGCACTTTGTTGATATCGAATAAAAAATACAAGGCAACTGATAAGACGGTCTGACTCGTATTTTCTCCCCAAATGAACCTTATATCAACCAAGTAACTTAAAAAACATATAAATTAATTAACAAAGGATTGGCAACTAGGTTTAGATGGTCAATTAGCTAGGGTTAATTACCTTTTTCTTGGTTGTATCAATCTTATTAGAGATCATTCGAACCTGTCCACCATCGTACGCATATAGTTAATGTAAGATTATGAAATTAAAACATCATATCACAAGTAACACACACACACACACACACAATATATATATATATATATATATATATATATATATATGCAATGCACAATTCACTATAGAGATCACAAACAAAATTGGAGAAACTCATCTACCCTATAGTCTAACATACACCTATAACTGTAAGAGGAGAGAGCTTTACCAACACATTCGGATACAACCATGACGGATTAATGATATAATATTATGTAAAACAGTTAAAACACATGATATTGTATCAATAATTGAGAATGCCATAGTAGCATCTCGAGGTGTGGGTAAGTCATTCCCCCTTGTAAGAGGCAAGGCGACCGTTGCCCTCATAACCAATATAAACTAAATTCCTTTATCTTCAAATGGTTTCTAGGATGCATATTAAGAAGAGATTTTTCAGAGTGTCGGGAGCACGACTCTATCAAATATCGTAATACAAAAAGTTGGATACTTGAAAACATAATATTTCTGACCACTTGTACTATGACATTTAATGTACCGGGTCGTGTTACCAACTTTTGTTATATTAATTGTGACTTGCTCGGATTTTCCTTCAAACTAGCTATATCTGATTAGCTTTGAATTTACCACAGTAACCCCTCTAGAAGAATAATATCAATCAACTAAGAGCTACAACAATGGCAACACATATACAACCTTGCGCTGGCGAATGACGTCGACGGCAGCTTTCACCTCTTCCTCGAGACCACGCAGTTCATCGAAACTCAGATCGTTCAGACAATCCCCAACTCTCTGCCTACATATTATACTCCGATTAAGTTGAAAAACAATAATTTGATCAGTAAAAAATTGACTCCTATGCAGTGTTCTAAAAGTTCTCATCTACTTCTAGGCTCCACGCTTAAGCGTTAGACATCTGCCCCTTCGTCCAACTAGCGCCTCTTAGAACCTTGTTCCTATGTAAATATCTATTAGTTACCTGATCTGCCTCCGAAGATTCATGTTCACCTCCTTGAGCTTCTTCAAATGCTGTTGCATTGCCTGCAGTGCACACACATAAGCTACCACAAATATTTACGCATAACGCTAACCAATTAGTAACTTAAAATGAAAAACGAACGAGGAATACCTCGTAGTGCGAGCTCCAAATATCGATTCCAAGAGTCTTCTGGTACTGATCCAGCAATTGCTTTGTTCTGGTTGAGCACAAATTCATCACATAAGCAAACGATGAAACCCAGAAAATCCAATAGTTTGAAGGAAAACCTAGGGTTTTAGGGAGAGAAAATGAGAGGGGAGAGAGAGAGAGAGAGAGAGTGAATGGATTACGTGGTGGAGGGGCTAATGTACTCGTGGACTTTGCCGGAGCTCGAAACCATGATGAGAGAGACCTCGGCGTCGCAGAGGACGGTGAGCTCGTTGGCCTTCTTGAAGAGTCCGTTCCTTCGCTTGGAGTAGGTCACCTGCCTGTTGGTCGAGTTCTCTATCCTCCTGATCTGGATCTTCCCCCTCGCCATCTCTCTCTCTCCTCTCCTCCCCCTCTCTCTCTCCTCAAATCCGATCTGAAAATATGAATATCTGAAACTCCGAAACAATTAGATTTAATAGAACAAAAATAATTAACAAATAATTAAGAGGAGATTAGGGTTGCAGAAGGGAATTTACCAGAAATAGAAAGGGTTTCGGGTTGAAATTGGGTCGAATTTCGATGTGTGGGGACCCATTGATGGAGATGGGGCATCGTACGTCCGCTTTCCGTTCTTCACCAAATCACGGTTTCCGTTCCGATGTAACATCCTACGGCCTACGGGGTTTGATAGATTCAGTCAGGGCTACCCTAGCTAGCTTGATCAGACGAGGGGAGAGAGAGATAGTCTCACCCTAATAAGAAATTTTTAGGATGTTTTAACAAAACACTCCTAGTACTATTCATTTTTAACAAAAAATCATATTTTTAGCTTTAACTGTCACTATTTACTATACCTTTAAAAATGACTTTTCATTAAAAATGAAGTTTTTTTTTACTTTTCGTTAATTTTCCTAATTTTTTTAATGGTAATTAGTAAGGAACCAAACGGCTAGTCTTACTATTGACTCGTTTGTAAGTACTTTTAAAATGGTTGAAAATCTTTTTGGCGAAAGTGTTTTGGGTTATAAAAGTACTTGAAGTGTTTCATGCAAGAAGTATATTTCGAGAATTCACTTGCAATTTTTTACTGAAAATTGGTTTCAAAAGCATTCTTATAAAAAACATATTCAGTAATTTTAAAAGTATTTCCAAATAAACCCTATAGCTATGTCAATGAAGCAAAAAAATCTTTAGGCATTGTTGAACTTAATCGTTGGTGGGATGTATTTTCAGAACTGTTATAATGGTAAATTTGGCTCGAATCTCTTGATCCACGTGATCCGGAGATCCGAAATAGATCTAGATCCACAAATTATAAGACAAAGAGTAACATTGATATATACAATTTAGCCAAACGTCTTTTGCCATTTATTTATTGGCAAGAATAAAAACCAGTGGTCAAAGAGAAGGCATTGGTGGATGCAATTAGATGTTGCAAAATTGGAACCCCTGGATTTTTCCCTGCAGGCGTAGTGAGGGCGTCGTAGGCTGGAGCAAATAGGTTTGGCACAATCACGAAATTTGAACATGTTAACGTTGTTCAAACCTTCAAGTAAAGCCAATGTCAAATCTCTCACGCGTCTAATCGTATTTGACTCACGTCCAATTTCTTGCCTCAAAAGGTATATTATTCCGATCTCTTCCACCAAATCCACATAATCCATCAATCAGAGTTTTTGAAATTTGATCAAACGGCTACAAACAAAGGACCCCTTTAAAAGTTATAATAACTTTAGCCGTTAGATCAAATTTTAAGGGTCCGAATTTATGGATCATGTGGATTTGGTGGCCTAATCTATTAAAAAGGTTGTTACATAATGGGCCCTCAACTAGGGAGGCAATGGCCCAATTGCTTCATTAGAAGGCCGAGGCCTTACGCTGAGCCTAGACCTGCCTTACAACACCCATCTCATTATGTGGAAATGGGTGGTCACAATGTCATGTTTTACATCCTGTCAGAGTAAGTACAAGTATTAGTAACATAACAAAAATACGTTCTTCGTCATTAATATGTTTGCTTGTGGTAATTGTGGCCTCTCGGGTTATGCGCTTTTCTTTTCGTTTTTATCCATTAATTCTGTTTAATTTATTCAATGAAAAAAATTGAGAAAAAAATGGAGTGCTAGAAAACAAAAAGAATGCTAAAATCATTTCTCGATGGCAGTTCTACTTGATTTGTAAGTGAAGGGAATTGTAAGTCTAAAAAATTGATCCAAAACACAGTACCAAACATGAATTTTCTCTTACATTAATCGAGAAGTTCAATGAATAGATGAATCCTAACAGTTCTGTATTAGTATATTTGTACGTTGAATAATATCAATACATTTCTGTTTGGTTGACAACGAAACATAAGCCCGAAAGAAAAGTAAAGACTATATAAAAATATCACGAACCCATGAGACCCCAGCTATATCTGCAACTAGCAATCGATGACAAGAAAGAGCATGCTCTAAAAAGACTGAATCCAAACTGCATGACAAACCTCCGGCTATATCTGTATTTTGTACGTTGGTCACACTCGTACCCCCGTTCGAAAATAATTTCTATGCATACAAAAATTGTACAAACGACGGCAGTGCATCATTCGTCCTCCTCGCTGAGCAATGCAAATGAGAAGGGATAGAATTTGTAACCAGAGCCCTCACTTGTTCTGGAACTCCACCCAGTGAAGCCTCAAGGCATGTAAGAATGCACTCAAGGTCTCCATCACTAGCAGCACTCCGACTGTCGCGCATATAAAGACGATTATGCCAATGATCAGAATGATCACATTGTTGTACCTGTAGTGGTTCCGAAAGGATTCATTACTCCGATAATTTGAGTCTCAGACTACCGTGACGAACGAAAGATGAGTAAAACTGTGAAAGAACTTACCCCCAGGCTAGAAGTAGAACCTTGTCGTAAAATACACTGGACAACTCCGAATGCGCCAAACTGAAGAAAGCAAAACAAGGGCAAACAAGACGGTCATCATCCGGTAGGTGAAACAAAGAACCATGTGCTCATAGAATTTTTATTTTCATCAGCCATGTAATATGTGAACCGTACTGACTTAGATGCCTAATTATGCTTCAAGTCGGTGCTATTAGATGGTTGTAAGTTGTTATTCACTCACCTGAGTGCCCATAAACGTAGATAAGAAGCTGTATTAGACACCGCTCCAAGCACAAATTCTATGGTATGTATGAGTTGGTGTACAAAGACTTCGGTGAATTCAAATTCCTCATGACCATGTAAACTTGGGTGGTGCTCCTCGTCAAGAGGGTCCTCGCCGCTGTGAAGCAGTGCGTAGGATTGACCTTGGTGCCTCTGAGAGAAGGTAATAGGGTGAAAAGAGAAAGAAGGAAAAGAATAAAAGCAAAGTAAAGAGGCTGTTTAGTTTCAAGTTTACCTCCTCATGCTGTTTCTTCAAGAAATAAGGCTTTGGAAACAGCATCCATGGTACAGCAACAAGAGCCGATAGCAGTAACAAAATCTGTAATTAAACACGGAAAATAAAATTGTTAGGAATAGTCACTCTCTTGTACTGATTGAGAAATTTTGCAGCGTAATTGAAGAAAGAAGAACAAACCTGAAGGAATCTTTGCCCCCAAAAAAGCTGATTTTCACCGAGGTCGTCAGTAGGACTCAGGAACATGTATATCATTACATGGTACAAATCGGCTTGTGAACCAGTGCACCATTTCACAATAATTAGGAGAGAAAGGTAGCCAAACAGGCTGTTTAAAAATATCATCTGAGGAACAAATTGGTACCTAAAAGAATATGGTTAGATTGTCAACATTAAGAAAGTAACTCATAATCCTACACATTCATTCTCCGAAAGAGAGTGAACAAGCTAGAGGAGAAGAAATACATATCAATTTTCACATTTAAGGTGGACGGGCATGTCATGCAAGATATACGATATCCCAAACAGTCACACTAAATGCTTTATAGGAAGTACGATACACATAAAGATAATTCTTTTTTTTTCTTTTTGCGCGGAGAGATAAAAGATAAAGATAATTCAATTTCAATTACACACCGATGGAAGTTCCTATTCCTATATATACATATGCATATATTAATGCAAGATCGAGGTTGAGTAGTATAGCTTACCAAATATTCAGTTTATCCGCAAAGAATTTTGCATTAAAGTAACTCAAAACGATTCCAAGATTCATCTGGGCTACTCCAAGTAGGATTGACATCTTCATCTTCAATGAGTTAAGAAATGGTAACTCAGATCGAGAACCATGCCATTTGGGATCCACACCAAACGGATAAGTGTCACGAACCTTAGTCAAACCGACTGTAGTAGCGTCTCTGCCACACAACAGAAACCCAAGTTTAATCAACTCAAATGGGATTGAGAGACCACACATATGTTAAGGATCTCAGGCTGATTGTGTACCTACAAGATGGGTCACGGCACCCATAGGCAGATTTCCCAAATAACTCAAATGGGACCGAAAAGAATTCATTATATATCAGTCCTGTGTAAATTGAGAACAGCGCCATCATCATAATAATATAACGGCCACCAAATGTCATTTCTACGATGTCCCCGAGTTCTGTTGTCAACAAATCGAGTTAATAGAACCGTGTGAAAGTTACAAGAAGCAAATAGTCCGTCTACGGTCACAAAGCAATGCAGCATTACCTGGCTAGAAAACTTCCTCTCCCGGATTATGAAATAGAGTGATGCCAGCAACAAGCAAATACCATGTCCCCAATCTCCAAACATTACAGCAAAAAGGAAAGGGAATGTGATAATGGTGTATACGCCTGGATTAGCCTCCTGATACTTGGCGACCCTGTGAGGATGATACATTAGACAAATTCTTCCCGAAATGATCTCATTCGGAAACATGAATTGTGCAGTCTAATTAAAATAACTTAAGTAGGTTAGGAAATGGTCTTCCTTTCTGCTTGATGGAAGAGAAGGAAGACAAAAGGTAAAGAACAATAAAAATTATGTTTTACCATTATAAACAGGTTAAAAGAAATAAACAGGTAATTCCCAAACTTCCCCAAAAGACCTCACCCTCCCCCCTCTGCCACCCCTGCTCTCAGTCTACCATCTCTCACGATCCTCCTACCGAGCATTGTGCAACACCTTGTATAGGCATAACATGCAAAATGACTCACCCGTATGCATCAACAATTTCTTGAAAAGCAGAAGTGAATTTGTTTGTGCGGAAATATGTCGGTGGCGGTTCCTTTGTATGCAAAACCTGGAATATGGCGCCAAGTTGAGAGTTGCTATCTAAGGATGCCCGCTGCAATGCGTTTTGAATCTGTGAAACATCAAGCCTGTGTTAATTGAAAAATTCTTCAAACATACATTGCACTTGCAAATGATTCATGCCAAGTTTTAGCATTGAATACAATTTTGGAAAGTGTTACAGGCCAAAGATCAAACCTGGTTTGATGCATATACAGGACACCAACCTTCTGCAACAAGACACATTCTACTCACATCAATGCTTAGCATGTTTAACGTATGGTAAATGGATTTTTCCTTCTTCACCTATCGAGGCATAAAGGAATAAAACTCAGCGATCAAACAAAACTAAACTCAATGACTATGAAATACAAACATGAATGGAGAATTAGTAGTTCGAAGCATAAGTATTTGGATTAACAAACCAGAAGGTTCCACTGCTCATATTGATGGCCAATTGTCTGTAATAAACTGCTTCTGTGCAACAATCCAGCATCTATGGTAGTCTTCAGCTCTGAAAGTTTTCCAGACACCTAGAAATTAAAGTG